GTTTCTTCTCCCTTGGTGTGCTGTGGTAGTTGGGAGACTTGTATGGAACTTTCATTGTTCTTTGTGTTTATGCGATTGTATTGGCTGGTGCGTTGTGTATACGCGTGTACTCTGCTTCACGATTTGCAGAACTCCTTCTTGGTGAGTTTGAATTGGCCGAGTATCTCTGTTTTCCATGGATTTTAACTTTGATGGTTCGTTTTGAGTTGTTATAGCTGCGAGAATTGATTGGATGTCGTATGTTATTGTGAATGAATCCATGGATAGTTTTGCTCATGCTTATGGATTCTGAACATCTGATTGAGTAAACTGTTGTTGAAGAGTTATTACTTATCTGTGGCTGTAGGTGTACTTTTTAACTGAAGAGTTATTATATCGGTGTAAACAAATATGGGCGTATTCTGATTTAATTCGTTAATTTAGTGGTGCGTACATGACGACATCTTCAATTCGATTAAACAGTCTGTGTGGCATATGATGAGTTTCTGTTATTGTATTGATGGTAGCTGATCACCAGAATCGAACTATGTTATATTTTGTTGTTAAATACTAAATGGAAAATGTGGCAAAGCTTTGTTCTGAAGTAGTAGCTGAATCTTTTCCGAACTGCGGGTTCACTAGGGTTCCATAATTTGTTGGTTCTTGGTTAAAGATGAACTGTGTGCATTAAACCAGCTTGATACTTATATAGGGAATCGAGACATAACCAGAGTTATAGAGTCTTGTTAAATATGAGACACAGGCATAAGAGAATGAAATCATCATTTCTAAAATAGTACGAAACCACACTTGGGTTCATTAGATTAGAGAAGTTGAAAATTTGTCTCTCTTCCTAATCAATTGTGGTATTACCATCTTTTTTTCTTTTTATTTTTTATTTCTTTCTTATTCCCTGATGATGTATACATGCAACAGACTGGTCCTACGCCAACTGAGATGGCTGTCTTCACTTGCAGTTTCTCAGCTACATATTCCCATAGCTATTAGACAAAGTAGCATTTTCCATTCTGGAAAGATTCTGTTTCCTTCTGTTATTCTAGTTAACGTCTCTTCACCCTCACGCCGATTGAATCGGCATCATGTATTTTTTTTTTTCCACTCATTGTTGCATTCCAAATTGAGCTGGCTTTGGCTGATATGGCAGTGGAATCATGATCAGTTTTGTATCAAGTCCTATTCAATTCTTTCGGACAGCACCTGACAGAATTTTCTCTCTTTCTGAATAATGATGACTGTATGGTTGTTTAGTTATGATCAACAAGTGATATAATAGTTTAGGCTTGATAGAGTGATTGCTTATTGTTGCTGCTCCATGTTTTTCCGCTTATAATTATGCAGAGAAGAGAACAATGAGCCAAGTGCCAGGTGGCCTCTGGTGGATAAAAAATATCACTAAATAAAGATGGGAGCCTGTTGCTCTGTGTCTAAGGGCACTGAACTTAATAGCTCACAGACCTTTCATGTAAGTCCAATCTCTTACCTCATCTGTTTATGGTTCTAAACTGCTTAATCTTATCCTATCTTGTACATAATTTCGAGAATATAATGTTGGCGTTCTTGCTTTTCATTGGTGCAGTAATATGGAAAGATCCTTTGATTTTTGACTAACTACGAGAAATTTAATATAATAATATATCCCAAACCTTTATATGCAGGATAGCAGTAGCTGCTTTTTAATGATTAAAATTGATATTTCCATATAATATGGTAAGATTAGTTCCCTAAGAGAATGACCAGTTGAAGGACAGGCATACAGCGATTATTGTGTATTTTAAATTTTGTTCAATTAAACTTATTATCAGGTCCTTAGGACATTTGTCATCTGCCTGGGAGTGTACCATATGTATAATAAGGAGAATAATCATATTCATGGAAGTTAAATGGGCTCTGGCATGTTACATATTTGTCTATGCATGATTATGTTTTGAAGTTCTGATGGAAGTTATGTAGATTCCCAGTCTCTTACTTATTTGCCTTGGCTCGCAAACAATGTTTTGAGTTTCTAGCATTTTGTGCATCTGTGTCCGCCAAATCTAGCATCTACTAACAATATAGGCCAAGCCCGCATGATTTCTGTGGCCATTTTCTACATTAAAATTTAGCGAAAGTGAATGGCTTCCCCTATTGATACTATAGTGAAGAGCTCTAGGGTTGCTTTTGCTTGGGAGCATGCTATGATTATGGCTTCAGCTAAGATTCAGGAATTTAAAAACTCGTATGTTCTGCTCACAAAGTGCGTATTGTTGAAATGACCAGACTACCACATTGAGCTGTTCGTTAATTACTAGTTATTCAAGCATAATGAACAACCTACAGGGTAAGTTAATATTGCATCGATTTTTTTACCACTTTTTAGGTCGAAGAGCTATTAGCCATCTACTCTTGAAAGTTCTTTAGTCGAATGCAGAGTTTCGACATAATGGGAAAATGGTTTCATTTATGATATAGAAGAAATGTAGCAATTGCATATCATCGTGTTCTTGCTCTTGAAAGTTTGTTCCTTGTCATGCATGGTCTGTGCAGTTCCTTTTTTATCATTTCTTTGACTGAGGTGTGGAGATAATCATGCTGTAGACAGCGAGTCTGCGACTACCGCCTAGGCGGGAACATAGTGAGAAAATTGGCAAGGTGAGCAAGGCCGCCTACCGCCTATGCTGTGATAATTCGGTCTGGGTGGCGATTTTTATAACTATGATTACAAATTAAAGCCAGTTTGTACTTTAAAATTAGAAGTACCCACTGGTATTTGCTCATGTCATACTCAGGAGGTTGCAGTTGTAAGGTGACTAGAAACCTCAAGGAAGCCTTGCTTGTACTTTTAGATTTTCTTTTTCTTTTTTACTTTTTAGCTACTAATAAATCACAGGGAGAATTTATAATTAAAATTATCCCATTATAGACAGTGAGTGCAAGCAATGATGTTCTTGCCCAGATCAACATAACCTCTTTTCATTCTTTTCCTTTTTTAGCTCCTTGAAATTATTGTCAAGTAATCATCTGAACTTTTCACATTCCCCTATCTTCTCGTGTTTTCTTTTAGTAGTTTTATTATGTCAACGAACTTTCTATTATAATTTGTGTTTATACTAATGCCATCATCGTTCTCCTTCTTTTTTCCACTTTCAAATATCATTACCGGTAATAATATAATCGTGTTCCTCATTGGCATCATTCGGTTCTATTGGGATCACACGTGATCACAGGGAGAAAATGTGCCCTTATCAACTCACCATGAGGCTGTCTCCGCTCAACCTACTGGGCTCTTGGTAGACACAAATTTAAATACCACGGCCCCTGATAGATATCATCCTCCACCAGCGAACAACACTCAGTCTGTTGGGGATGTTAACTCAGGCAGCAACTTGGAGACAAAAGTGAAGGACATTGAATGTGACGAAAAGGGCAGTGCAAATATCGAGCTGGGGGCATTAGAGGATGAAAAATCTGAGGATCTTAAAGCGTCGATTGAACCTATGGTCCCACCCCTGCAGGAGGAGGAGGATGTCTGTCCAACTTGTCTTGAAGGTACAACTAGAGTTAGGGATAATTTCAAAACTACACCCGTTCTTATGTTAATTGCAGAAAGTCAGGGTTGACTTTGCAATTAATGCTTCAAACTATATTTTTTGTTTTCTCCTTTTGTTTAACTGGCTATGGAACTATATCCTTAGGACGTACATGAGTTATGACAGAACTTTTAGCTTGACATATTGAACCTTTCGAGTTCTGCAGAGTACGATGTGGAGAACCCAAAAATCATAACGAAATGCAAACACCATTTTCATCTGGCCTGTATTCTAGAATGGATGGAGAGAAGTGACACCTGTCCTGTGTGTGATCAGGTTTGTTCGACTGTTTTTCTCAGTTACTTATTATGATTGTCTGAAAATGGATTAGTATCAACATTTTTTGAGGCGGTAGACATTATCGGTTGTCTTGTCGAGTGCAGGAAATGATTTTCAGTCTGGCTGAAGGAGGATAAACTATTGGACTGCTGTTGTCAGTCACTTTGCCTTCTGTGTTTGGTTTGAATGATGTTGATCTGGTCTACTTGATAGTGATGCCAGTAGCTTTCACAGAGTTGGTTTTTGTTTGATGATTTGATCTCTAGAGATTTATGCTTGTTAGCTGAGGTGAAGATTTGCAAAGTTTTCTGCAGACAATTCGGCGGCATCTCCGAAACAAACTACTTTCTTTCTTCCCTTTTAAAAAAAAAAAA